GTGTGCAGCTGACTATTTCTCACAGTTCAGTGTAGCCTGCTGGGTCTCCCACTGCATCTAGCATTCTCTTGTATGGATTAGTAGCTTTGTCGTAAATGAAGGCAGTGATGCAGATGGAGGGATAAACATCTAGTGTGCTAATCATCTCCTTTCCATCTGAGCAGGCTGCTTTATCAGCAGCCTTTAGATGGAAAAAAAAAATGGTCAGTGTCACTATTTTGAAGAAGGTAGTCCCGTAAGAAGACTTCTCCAAATCTTCTGTGAATTTCTGGGGTAGAACAGTCTCCTGTATTCCCTTCTTGTGACTGGCATACTCTTGTACTGTGAATTTTCTGCTAGCAGGAGGCACTCCAAGATGTCTTTGCTGCCAGGAAAAAATAAAAGCGGTCTCCAAATGCCATTGGAACAGAAGAGGAAGTATTGGTGGGCAGGGACCATTGTGTGGGAAAGAATTCTCTAAATGGGCTGGGAGAGCTGGGAAACAGTCACATTAGCTACAGCACAGTACCAGAGCAAGTACTGCAAATCAGAGGAGACTGACGTAGCTGTAATGAAGTCTCTCAACTCACATAACATGGTCTCATTTCGTTAGGTAATCAGCTTTGAGAACTGTAGAGCTAGGCTAATTGAGGGGGGTTGTGCTGCTGCCAACAGAGTTTTGATACATAAATTTATTCTGGCAACTGTGGAGCAGCATTATGGTTCTTAACAAAGTAACTAATTGTCACAGAAGCTGATTTCCTCTTTACTTATCTTGTTCCAAACAAACAAAACAATGCAAGAAAATAATATTTTATACATGTACGTTTAAAAAATAGCTTTTAAAGTGACATTATGTGGATTGTAAAGACTTTTAGACTAAAGTCTAGAGGGGAGGATTTTTAATCTGACATCAGTAAAAATCTGGAACAAATAAGGAAAGATATTATGAGGATCTCCACCTTTTGCTTGTTCTTCTGGAGTACTTGGGTGTTTTTGTTAACAGGAAAATGGAATGGAAATGGAAAATTCTGTTTCTAAAAATGCTTTTCAATGAGTAAATGCATTCCAGTGAATGAGTAAAGAAAGGTGAAAGTGTGACTTACTGGATTTCTCTTAATCTTACAGATGTCTTGATGTCCCTTGCTAACTACAGTCAAGATGGTGATGGACCACTGTGCAGACCTGTAATTCTACTGCCTGTGGATAGTGCTCCTCCCTTCCTGGAACTTAAAAATTCACGCCATCCATGCATTACAAAAACTTTCTTTGGGGATGATTTTATTCCTAATGACATTGTGATAGGCAGCAAAGATGAAGACAGCAGTACCAAAGCTTCCTGTGTGTTAGTAACTGGCCCAAATATGGGTGGCAAATCTACGCTCATGAGACAGGTGACTGACTATCTACATAAGATTGAATGTCCAGAGTACCTCTGCTTTACATAAAGGAATGACATGATTTCACTGTTTACAAATATTCATGGAGGTCCCAGCAGTGGTCTTCAGGGTGTGCAGCACAGTGCAGCAGTTACACTGTAAAGACAAAATATAATCTGGTAGAAAGTGCCCATGTTTCGATAGTAGATTTTCTACTTATTTCAGTGAGGCATAAATGTTAATTGTCCCACGAGACATGGTTGGGAAAAAGTGAGAGAGTATCTTTTATCTTTTTCAAGTGGCCTTATCTAGGACTTTGCATCATCTGGAAAAGGTGCTTCTGCAGGTTGAACAAGGTGAAAATAGAGATCATTGGCAACTGGGAAAGCAACAGGGAGTTTGGTTTATAAGCACTGCTTCCTGTGGTAACTTGTGTTTTGAGGGTTTTCACAGTAGTTTAGACCTACTTAAGATGACAGAGCTGCAGTCTGGAGCTGTTAAAACAGTAGGAAGCTTTATGTACTCTAGTCTGTTTCAGAGGAAGTGCAGTTACATTCCCTCGTTCTCTATGTAGAACTGAAACTCCAAGCACATAGATTAAACATTTCAATTTTTACTTTGTTCTGCAGGCTGGTCTCCTGGTTATAATGGCCCAACTGGGATGTTACGTACCTGCTGAAGTCTGCAGGCTGACACCGATTGACAGAGTCTTTACGAGGCTTGGGGCCTCAGACAGAATTATGTCGGGTGAGTTTCTGAAATCCAGCTGTCCAAAGTGTTCTTGTCAATGAGTGAGTTTCTTTTTTTGCTTTGAGTGGCAAGTTGGAAAGGGATAGTCTGCTGATTTAACAGGGAGAGCTGGGCAGTGAATTTATTGTCTCATTGTTCAGAGTAGAAACAGGATTATGTAGTTATGCTTGATTTGTTTGATATGCTTGCCCTCCATTATTTTTGACACACAGGACCATTTTTTAATGAATTGCAATATTAAAAGCCTGCCTTCCAGCTGGATGCAAGCCTGGGGGATAAATACCTTTTTTGATGCTATACAGTTGATTGTGTTCTACTTACACAGGTGTCTTTTTCTGAGTGTTCTGGAATAATAGGTCAGTGATCTTCAGGTAGCTGTTGTAGAGGAGCTGAATCTGTACCCTCTTGCAGGGACTAGAGGTCACTTGTTTCAGTTAAAGTGTACCTGCCTTTTGTCTGAAGTCCAATTTCTTCAAACCATCACCAAAGAGGCAAGCTTCCTTCTTGGAGGGAGTTGTTGGCAATTGTTTGGAGTGTTTTGTTTCTTCCATGGAGAGGAAGACTAGGCGGAGATGACACAACAACTGGAACAGGAAAATCTGGCTGTGGTGTCACAGGGCTAGAAAAACCGAAGTATTTTTTGTGGTAATAAGAGTAGTATCACAACTCACTTAAGGAGGGTACAGATTTTCTGTGATCTTTCTGCTGAAAAATGTGTCAGTGAATTTGAAAGGAGTTAAGCCTACTGAACTAGTTGCACATAAGGAATTTTGAAATGAATCATTCTGAGTTCTTCATTTAAAAAAATATTTACACTTCCCCAAATTGAGGCTTTTCTTAGCAGCTAGAAAATGTTATTAAGTCTTTCTTTGCCCAGGTATTTTCCATTTTGCTTCACTTCAGCAAAAAAATAAATGTTAAGAATGAAAGTACTTAAGTGTTTATAGTAGAAATAAAAACTGCCCTTTCTGCAAGAGAGAGGTGGTCTAGAAAAATGTAGCATATTTAACTTTTTTATGTTAATGGCAAGCTAGTATTTTCCAAATATCTGCACAAATGTTTTAACACTTCACAGCATGAGATTGACCACTGCACAGCAGAACTAATTTTGAAATGTGTTCTTGAGGCATTAGTTTCCACACTGTATAGAAACAGAAGCATAACAGCAGTTGTTCCACAGCAGTTATTTCCTAACAGAAATCAACAGGATTTTTATGGAGTAAATTTTAAGTAATATAATTTTAAAATTGCTTATGTAATTGTAAGAAAGTATTTTCTTAAGTGAGTAAATGGTTATTCCTAAACAGTTAAAAAAATTCCATCCTGGAAATGTTTTTAAACAGATGAAGAAAATCAGGATCACTGGACTCTTGCTTAATAATTCACGTTGAAAAACTTACATTAGAGCAGAGCAGTGTTTGTGCAGCACGAGTATAGGAAGTAAATAATTGCCTCTTCTGGAATGACATTAATTGCTGCTGCATGAGTATTTTGAATGAACCTTACAAAGACCTAGTAAATCTGGACTTTATACACGTAGATTTATTATGTGCAAGGGTCTGGATTATTGTGTATGTGATTCTTCTTGTAATCTGCTAAAACCCAATTTCGGGTTTAAATTTCAAGCCTTGTTTTTATCTGGGTTGTTGAAACTTGTGTAAGATGTTCAGACCTTATCAGCATTGTATTTCCTTTGTCATACTTCACTCTACATATGAGTACAGGCTTAATAAGCTGAATAATTCATTACCTTATGACATCAATAACCAAACCAGTAACTCTAGTCTTTATTTTTTAAGATTTTCTGCTTGCTTATTCACAAAAAGCCACAGATCTTAAGCCTGTCTTGTGCATTTGAGAGCAAGAAGGGGCAAATTATTCTCTCCATCTTGTATCCTTTGAGCCCCTCGTCTTGTACATACGACCCACGCTATTAAAAGAAGACAGCTAAGGTGGCCTAAAACTTATTTATGCAGCTAATTGTACTTGTGCCCATGCCTGTACTCCTAATGAACCAAAACCTGCCCGTTTTTAGCAAATGGAACCCCATCATTTTCAGGATGGAAAAAAGCTGGTTTCGTTCATACTTAGTTTGCTGTCAAGCTTCATTATAGCTTGATTGCAGCAGACTAAATTGGGTTTTAGTTGTGCTTGTCAGAGCTTTGACTGGTACTTCATGACTCTTGTTCCTTTTAAAGGTGAAAGTACCTTCTTTGTTGAATTGAGTGAGACTTCCAGCATTCTCCAGCATGCAACAGAGCACTCCCTTGTTCTTGTGGATGAACTGGGTAATTAAGTCTATTTTGTAATAGATGGAAGTTAAATCTTAAGATTAAAAACTAGCTGTTGGACTGTCTTAAATGGCAACCAAGTACACAAGGTTATCTAAATGTTACTAATGTGTAACTGGGGCTGTATCTATGGACATACCTCTAGAACATGTATTTTTTTGGTGCCCTGGGAACTAATACACCCTCCACCCCACAGTCATTGCTAGGCTATTTCTAGCTGAGTTTTCCTGCTTTTCCTTGCATAATTACTTGCAGCAAGCCTTGAGCAAGTCTCAAAAGAGCAGAAACGTCTTTTGCTGCAGTGCAGAAGAGCATGTGATTGTTAGAGGGCAAATACACCGGTCACTTCCCTGTGATGCTGGTGGCTCTCACTACTCACTTCTCTGTGTGTCCATCTTCCACACAGCCAGGAGGGAGAGAGACAGATCATGCCAACTGACGAGACATGGCAAACAATACATTGCATGTGTCTTTGCTTTTCCATGTCCCCTCCAGGCAGAGGCACAGCTACCTTTGATGGCACAGCTATAGCCAGTGCAGTGGTGAAAGAACTGGCAGAGAAAATCCAGTGCCGGACACTGTTCTCCACCCATTACCACTCACTGGTGGAGGATTATTCCCACAACGCGGCTGTGCGGCTGGGGCATATGGTAAGTTGGAACATACCCCTCTGGGCATGGACAGGTAGGATGATGTTTTTGTTACAGGATACAAGGCAGATCTTATGCTGTGCATACTTTTCTGCCTGGTCACAGAAGCATCCTAAGAAAAGGATGTGGTGTTTCATGCATTTATTAGTCTGTAACTGTTACATACACTGACTGGTAACTTAACTCTTTCTAGGCATGTATGGTTGAAAATGAGAGTGAAGATCCAAGCCAGGAAACAATTACTTTCCTGTATAAGTTCATTGAAGGAGCCTGTCCAAAGAGCTATGGCTTCAATGCAGCAAGACTTGCTAATATTCCAGAGGAGGTTATTCAGAAGGGGCACAGAAAAGCAAAAGAGTTTGAAAAAATTAACATTTCACTGAGAGTATTTAGGTAAGATCTTGGGTTTTCCATTTCTAACTTGTGCATTGCTTAGCAGGCATCTGTTGTAAAACTTGGACGGTGGCTTTTGCTCATGGTCTCCAAGCAGAGAGGGAAGTTAAAACTACTTTTGTCAATACAAAATGTATTTCACAAGTGGTGAGGGGGGGAACTACTGAAACCTGACCACAAGATGGCAGATATGATGAGTAACACAGTATTTTAAGCCTTGGGTCACTATGCAAGGCTCTAGGGATGAGCTGAATTAGCATAGAGGTGCATGGCTGGCTGTGAGCTAAGCCAAAGTGAAGGCAAGTGTGAATAAGCCCAACGCTGGGTGCGTGGGGGGGTGATGCTACAGTAGCCCTGAAGCAAGCCAGGGGCTAGGCACTAGGATGCCTTGGCAGCTGGTGCAGATACAAAATGTCACCTGTGCTTGAAGCTGAGCAGGTAACAGGCAGCTCAGGCTCTGCCCCTCAGTGCCCCTGTTCTGTAAAGCTGACTGCATTGTTCTCCTTAGGTACCTGTGCCTGGTGGTGGATGGTGCAACACGTGATGCAAATGCTGTTCAGAAACTTACCACTATGATAAATCATCTTTAAGAACACAAATATCTGTGTACTGGTGGTTTCTCAAAAATGTACCAGACAACATTATGATCTAATAAACTTTATTTTTTAAAAATGACCATTTTTCCATTGTCTTTCCTAGGAAATTAAACCCTTTAATTCTTACCTACCCTCTACATAATGGTTATTGAGTACTCCACAATATATTAAGTCTAGATGTTATGGTACATGCATACACTTTCAGGCTGTTGATTACCCACTGTCACCAATACACATAAATGGAAAATAGCTATGAAACTGTATAGGGCTGTATATATACTTGTCTCAGCTTCATTAGAGCAGGAAATTGCTGTGATTTCCAGCAGATTACATAAGTAATGTCCAGACTGTTCAAAAAAAACTATGAACAGAGTAAAGTACAAGACTGTTTTGAGGAGACTTTCTACTGTGTACTTTAAAACATAGTAAAATTTCATTCACAAAACTTAGTTACATGGGTACTTTGTTTTATAGTGCATTATAGTCTAGGAAGTCTCATTAAAACACTCGTTTTTTTTGTTAGGGTGGTTTGAGTACAGACTATTGCTGGGGCAGGGAAGGAGATTATTCTAACTTCAGAGGACACCAGAAAAATTGCTGGATATAATTTAAGATTAGTGTTTTCTCTTTCATAGAAAGAACGTACATACTGGGACATGAGTACAGGTACAGCAAGTCTAGGTGTGCTAACAAAACAGGACACATTCAAGTACAATAAGATTTTTTTGCTTGAAATTAGAAACAAACTACATGAGATTAAAGCATTAAAATCATATTTCTCAATCTGAATAAATGTTAAAAAAATCAAAAGAAATGGAGAAGTGCTAGCTCACATTTTTTACCATGTTACAAAAGCAATTGGTACCCATGTCCATAAAGGCAGCAACAAAGAATGCTGCTTGTCTACAGAATAGTACTACTGCAAATTGGACTGCGTTTCAATGCTACTTGTAAAAACACCAGCTTTCAGAAGTTGGTATCTGTACAAAATTGCAGCTTATTTTTCTTCACTTCTGTCCCTTCAAAGTCTTTGTTTACACAGTAATGCTAAAACGCCCAGTTCTGTTATCCTGAGTCAACATATTGCCACTTTCTTTTTTGGTAGGTTGAGCTCCATAGTGTCAACACCTCACACATCCGCTTTAATACAGTCTCTTTCTGCAGAAATGGGCAAGTATAACTTCCTCCAAAAAAAAGTTTTAACAGTTACGATATTAGAATGGCAGGACTTTCTTGAAAGGAATTCAGTTGTGCTGCAATGTATTAGATTCTATAGGTGGAGCAGAGTCATATAGTGTATCTGTATCATGTGTAGGCTCTCCAGCAAGCGTACAGGGATTAGACAGTGTTCCAGCACCACAGTCACAGAAAAACCTAGGGAGAAACAGAGCTCTTTAGTTTCTACTTTATGTGCCTTGTCAAAATGGCTCAACACACTTGTTTGAAACATACCTATCATGTCTAATGAATTCTACATCATGTCCTTGATGGCACTTCTTAATGCAGTTCACACATATGGCATTGCGGTCTGTGGTGTTACAGGTGTGACACCTGATGGAAAACACATCATGTTAGGCATGAAGCAACAACCTGATGAGTTGAGAAGAGTGCTTGGGGAGGGTGTGGAGGCAGGACAGAACCAAAGAAGGGATCACGAGTTTACATGAATGCAGATTTCATGGCATACTTTTGGTTGCTTGTTTTGAAAAGGCAGTTTTGCCCTTTTAATCCCCTAGGCTCAGGTTCACAGGAACAGTAGGTTTTCCTCAAGCCCACAGCAAATACAAGATAATAGAAACTTGTTTAATCCTCTACTGTTGCAGCTGAGCACACATTTGTGTGTTAACTATGGCAACTCTTTTAGGGGTCTTGCTAGAAGAGAAACTTTATTTGAAAACTACTGTAGGTGACAGAAAGAACCTGTTACCTGTAGAAGTCATGCATCGGATAGCTGGTGTAACTTGATATCTTATATAAACACTGGCCTCTACTTACAGCTTTTTCTATGGCATCTTGATTGTTCATTATTTTGTTATCTGTTGAGGGGAAAACAAAAAAAGCCAAGAATTAATCACACCTGGATCAATGACTTTTTTTTTCTTGAGGTGTTAAAGCAGAGGCACCCTCCCCCCCAACGTTTTAAGAGCTAACCCCTCTAGGAATAGTTAGATCTATGCCTAATACTTTTGATGTAAGCATAGCAAATCCTCGATGCTAGATTACAAGGCAGATATCCAGGCAGTGCAGTGCACTCCCCAGATAAGAAAAACTGCTCCTCTTTGCACACACTGCATTAAATACCTGATAAACCTTCATTTACACACTCTTTGTGAATGGGTGTGCAAACAAATGGTTAGAGAAACAAGCTTTCATATCAGGCTTCAGTTTTCTGTTGAGAAGTCTGAAACCCAAATGTTTGAAAAGCCTCTGGACAACCATAAGGAGTTTTACACACCCCTGAGAAGACAGAAAGGCATGGCTCTTCCCCCAGGGGATTTTAAGAATAAGGCCACTTCCAACACAATGGAAGTGGGAATTAGGTCTGACCACCTCCAACATTTAAAAGGTGTGCGCCCAAGGAATAGTGAGTTTGATAATCCTCTGTTAATTCAACTACTATATCTCCTGTCAAGGCCTAAAGTGCACCTCAAAATTTTGTCAACTCCCAGCAGCATCAGAGCACTGATTGATGCAGTCACTAAGACTAGGAGCTGTGAAGCAAGGAGACAGACCTTGTGTTTTAAATGATGTAAAGAATATATGGGGAAAAGCACAAAAAGGTATAGCTAAGCAGGTCAAACCTCTGCAAATGGAACTTTTTTCTTCTACAATAACCTCTTGGAACTTTCTAGCATTCAAACCATTACTCCAGTCTCCTCCAAGAGGACCATGTGTCATGCACACTTCCTCACTGTACATGAGAATTTTATGTGAAACTGTTTCCACTTTCTGAAAAAAGTTATTTGGGATTGTGAACATTCAGGCTTTTAGACGCTAAAAGCAAAGAGACATTTCTTTACTCGATGCTTGTTTTCAGGTGTGTGACAAAAGACTTTCCATTATACTAACTTAGAACTGGAATTTGAGATGGGCCAAACTCCAACTGTTTGGAAACAATTTTGAGACAGGAGAGCTAGTAACAGTTTTAATGTGATAGGAAAACCTTGTGACCTTTGAGTCACGTGAACGGCTGTCTAAAAATCGAAGGCAGTTTCGCTTAGTTTACTACCTTCAGCTGAAACTTGTAGTTGCAACTCAGCTTACAGTGGTACCAAATCTGAGCTGGAAAAAAGTGACACACTAAACCTAAAACCCAGCACCAAATAAGAAAATGCAGAACGAAGAACATGGGGGCCCAAGCTCACCTTTCATCGTGACATTGACACCAGATGCTAGAAATAAACCTCCGAAACGGTTGTTGAAAATCTGATTGCCTTCTAATGTTGCAGTTGCGTGATTTGTTATTTCAATACCTTTATTGGGTGAGGGCAACAAAGAAAATAAAAGAAAGTGGGAAAGTTAAATCCTTAGGGATTGTGTATTTTTACCTCCCTCATGATCTATATTTTTTCTAAACCATCAAACTCAGGGGGACAAAAAGGAAAATTACATAGCTAGAAATTGCACTGTAATTTGCTATAAAACTGATGTTCAAATACTTCTGTTGAATCCTTGCAAAGAGCTACAGCTGGCATGCATGGTTTCTGGTAAAACAGTACACTACTGGTTTATCTAATAATAAAATGGTGCTAGGATCATGTATTTTCCAGGGGTAAGATTTTTGGGTGCTTAAAGTGAAGGTTTCTGTGCACATACCTTACCCTTTAAAAAACACCTTTTACAAAAAGTTCTCTAGATGGGCACCTACAATTCATTTCTTTAAATCTCAGCTTTTATCAGTAACCAGTGTCTTCCAAGCCATTTGTCTAGCACTGCTCTTGACAGCAATCTATCCTTTCCCCCCACCACACTGAAACAACACCTTTAGAGGCTCTTCTCAGAAACCTTGCTTCTTCTGAAAGAAAGATGGGAGAAAACTCAAGAATGCAGTTTTAGTTGAAATGGAATGGAATGCAAGATTAACTGTGACTATTAAACAGTAAATTGCACAAAAATCACTACTACACATTATTTTCTTTCAGAGTAAGAAGTGCTCGATTTTTCAAGTCTGTGGAGTGAGAAAGTTGAACTTCAGATGCAATTAAAAACTCTTTTAAATGTGTATTTGCTGTTACCTATGTTTCAAAGCAGTGATAAAATATTCAAACCAACAGCCAGCAGGTCAAGTATAAGTATGTCCTAGAAAACTTTACAAATAACTTCTAAAATAAAACAATGAAAAACTATTTTGCAGAAAAGTGAGAAGGTAGGCTGTGTGTTGTTTGCTAACATGCTTGTAATTCCAGAGACTCTAGTAAAGATATGATGGCTACTTTACTGAATTCTCTCAAATGATTCCTAGAATACACTGAAGGATATTCCAATCTCTGCTAAAATATCTAAATACTGTGGGGTAAAGAAACTCCAGTTAGCTTTGTGAAGAGACTACTCTAAAGCTCCAACACTTCAAAATTTGATGGAACAACACAAACCTGCTGCAAATCCATCAAATATTCGATTTTTCCTTAGCACAGGGTGGCTATTGGTGCTGATAAGGACACCAGCTTGAGCATTCCTGAAGATGTCATTCTCTTCCAGAAGACCTGTAACAGACCAACAAACGTTGAGCTTGACATTTGAGTTTGCTAAGATTTCCTTACCTGTAAACCATTCTGTGAAATACTAGCCAAATATCTCATGTATCATTATCCTGCCAATTCCTTTTATTTGGGAAATACCCATCCAGCATCACTGAAGTTAGCAACAGAAGTTTAAAGTAATTCTCAGTGTGTAGTCATGTAAGTCTATTCAGTATACTGAGTAGAATTTGGGATTGTATCCACCATTATAGAAAACTATTTTTGAGGAAACAGTCTTTTCACTTTCCAAATTTT